ATTACACATACTGTGACCAAAAGGTACAAAAACTGTTTATTTTTCAGTTGCAGGGTTAGTTTTGCCAGCAAGTTTTCAGAATAATATAACGATAACAATTGCCGGCTAACAACATTCGTAATTCTGTCAATCAAATTCTGTAAACATTTTTGGGCGAATAAGTTACCAAATTGATATAAAAAATAGCCTATTCGATAGATTACAATCTTATGATTACACATACTTTGACCACAAAGCACAAAAATAGTTTATTTTTCGGTTGCAGGGTTAGTTTTGCCAGCGAGCTTCCAGAGTAATACGACAATAACAATTGCAGGCTAACAACATTCGTAATTCTGTCAATCAAATTTAGTAAACATTTTTGGCTGAATTTGATGCCAAATTGATATAAAAAATAGCCTATTCGATAGTTTAAAATCTTGTGATTTCAAATGACTTCATCGTCAAAGACAAAACAGGTTAAGTTTGTAGTTACAGGGTTAGTTTTGGCAGTATTTTCTGGAAATAATTGCTGCGTGCGCGATTTACTGATAGCACGATCCAAATTTTACATTTAGCATCACTATAAAATAGAAATAAATGAAAATTTGGATGTATAGCCGCTCCACGACTACGATCCCAAAATTCAGATAATACGCTTTTTTACGATATATTTTGCATAAACTACACGCATTTGCCTTTGTTTTTATGTAAATTTAAAGACTTATTACCGTGGTAACTAAGTAATTGCTACTTATAAAATAACATGTATATAACGCGTATTCTGATTGGTCGAAAGCCGTGTTTGGATCAGGCCATCCAAACACGGAAGACTACCGTGTTGTTGTTATTTTATAAAACAATTACTTTATGATTTCCGTGTTTGGATGGACTGATCCAAACACTTGGGAATGTTGCTCGAGTTAAGAAAAGCGGGCAAAATCACTCGCCTTCGGCTCGTGATTTCGCTCGCTTTTCTTAACTCTCGCAACATTCCCACGATCCCAAAATTCAGATAATACGCTTTTTTACGATATATTTTGCATAAACTACACGCATTTGCCTTTGTTTTTATGTAAATTTAAAGACTTATTACCGTGGTAACTAAGTAATTGCTACTTATAAAATAACATGTATATAACGCGTATTCTGATTGGTCGAAAGCCGTGTTTGGATCAGGCCATCCAAACACGGAAGACTACCGTGTTGTTGTTATTTTATAAAACAATTACTTTATGATTTCCGTGTTTGGATGGACTGATCCAAACACTTGGGAATGTTGCTCGAGTTAAGAAAAGCGGGCAAAATCACTCGCCTTCGGCTCGTGATTTCGCCATAAAGTAATTGTATAGTGACAGGCACATCACGGATATCACGATTTGTCATCATATTTCTAGCTTACGTTTCCAGTGTAATAACTCCGAATACAAGATGGCGGTATATCATATGTATTGAATTCCTCAGTCCACTTATTTATACTATCTACAGCACAGGTAACCCAAACATATATCGTTACAGCTCCTTTCTAAGTCTAACAAGACGCCTGCTCAGGCGTTCACACTGACCTGCTTGAAAATGAGGACATACGCGCTATGGTGTAATAGACTCAAGGGAGTGGGGAGCAAGAGAGTTCGTAGAACAGTTTGAGCGGTTGATACCGTAGATTTATTCAAAGAAAATCAATATTTCGACAAAAACCCGAAAGCAAAAACTGTTTGAAACCTGGAGTTGCGTTTTTGCACAAGTAACAAAGCTTCATAGGAAAACGATATACTCTAAAAATATAAAAATATTATAAAATGAAACAGTGATGTATAGGTAACATCTCTAGTGCTTTAATCATATTTAGTTGAATATCAAATGTATAGTAATAATATCTCTATAGAGAGTATGTCGGGTTCACACAGAAAATCACTTGACCATATTCAGCTTTATCAAATCATTGTCGTGGATCATTTCTTGGTAGTAAAACAATGAGATACACTATTCCATTGTCTTCTTTGCCTTTCGATTGCCTTGAACGATCTCTTTTTGAACAATGGAGATTTTGCCCTACGCAATATTACAAGGCCTCGCCAAAAGACAACAAGGAGTCATCAAAAGAAAAACAAAAAATAAAATAAGACAGCTATACGCTTAAGTGTTTCCTACAGTTCAGCGTTTTCAGTCAACACCACAGCTGATCATCCCCAAGACAAAGATTTTTTTAACATTTTATCTTGCTTGCCCCATTGGGCAAAATTACTTACCACAAAAAGCTGGGCATCTTTAAGTTTATGTTCTCATTGTCACATAAATTTTTTATAGTGCATGTACTTGATTCAATTTTTTTTGTGGGCCAAAGCTAGATCTGAGGCAGTATAATATAGCCATATAGAGCAGTGGGAGAATGAGTCGACATGTTGTCCATTTAATTTATATCTAGGTACCCCAGTGGCCGTCGTCTGATGGCAAGTGAATTTTATTCAGGGCAACTATCTTTCATGTTCAACTTGCCCTGAGGACAAGTGTTCAAAAAAGTAAAGTTACACCACTGAAGAGATTTGATAACGTTTTGGTGTGGTTATGTGCATTCAAACATCAGAACTGCAATTTGTTGTAAATTTGTTGGCACAAATTTTGAACTTGTTGGCACAAATTTACCATGTTTTTTTCATAAGATTATCAATTTAAGCAATTTCACTTCGGTTGACACTTTGCACTTTGGCCGGACTTTGGTCATTCAACTGAATACATTTTTCTTTAAAATGTTTTGTATTTATTTATTTCAATTAAAACACTCACTTAATTTCACTTTTATAGTCGTAATAGGCATAATTACAATTCTGGGGGAGCATTCCCCCATATCCCCCTTGAAATCTTGTGCCTTTGGCACTCGTCCCCCCCCCCCCAATATTTTGCAAAGTTTCCGCCGCTGGGCATAATACTCATACGTAAGGTATCGTACCATTTTTGTTTGTGTCAAAGTCATTAATTCCACTCTGGTGTGCTCAGGAAACATAGAAATTCGCTACACTTCGATACAGTTGGAGTGGAAAATGGCCTTTAGGGTGGGGGTTAGAATCAGGGTTTTATCTGGGGGAGCATTCCCTCATACCCCCTTGAAATCTTGTGCCTTCGGCACTCGTCCCCCCCCCCCAATATTTTGCAAAGTTTCCGTTGCTGGGCATAATACTCATACATAAGGTATCGTAGCATTTTTGTTTGTGTCAAAGTCATTAGTTCCACTCTGGTGTGCTCAGGAAACATAGAAATTTGCTACACTTCGATACAGTTGGAGTGGAAAATGGCCTTTAGGGTGGGGGGTTAGGATCAGGGTTTTATATTTTTAGGTTACCTAGGACATGATTTTTAAAGTAAACAATTTTATATTCACTGGTTTCATTAGGTTAGGGTAGGAAATAGGAATAGGGTGGGGATTAGAATCACGGTTTATTTGTAGGTTAGGGAGAGTTTAAAATATTTTTAATAAAGGATCTTCGTTCTTGAATCTTGATAAATAAAATGATGTCAGGTCAGTTTGCTTGCTGACATAAACAGGTCTGAAAAATTCACACACGCACGGTTTTTAAATTAAAATGAAATTATAAACAAATATTAAACTTTAGCAGAAACTCAAACTTGCATCAAAATGTTGTTTTGTCTTTTAATAAATACGCAAAAGTTTCAGACAAGCCCAGTCAAGCGAATTTCACACTACAGCAGTACAAGCCATGACAAACGGAAATATAAAATATTTATACAATTAAACATCGATCTGTGTACGGGAAGAAGCTATGAAATGCGGCATATAAACAAGAACAATGATTATTCAACTATTGGAAATTTTCGACCCAAATGAGATTTTATATCTATGATTTGATTTGGGCCATACTGACAAATATGTGGCATGATTGATGATATAACATTGAACCTATTAAAACGAGTTGAAAATGATACTCAAAGGTGACTTTGTACGCTCAATAGACAAGTTACAACATAGAATCAACTTAACAGTAAGTAAAGGTTTGTAGAACGTACCTGTTCGAGGTATGATGACCGGTGGATTCACCTTTTTCAGCAACAAAAACTTGACAATATAGCACATGAAATACAAATAGCCGCATTTAGCGTGCAGAAATCGTGAGTGGGATACGCAAAATTATCCTAAGGAGATGTTTTCGTCCGGTCCAATGAAACACGAGTATTACTCACAAATACAAACGTTATCCATAAGTGCACATGGTGTCAGAGGGAGATAGGGACTCAGGAGGTCTGGAACTGGTAATTGTGCGCGTGCGTATGGGCTATTAAGAAAGATGTACCACAAGCATGGCATGAGCCGGCTACTACGTACATAAATACGGAGCTTGTTACTATGAGAACAAAATCAAGCAGTCGAGGAATCGATGGCATTTTGGCTTAAACTCCATTTCTCGACGAAAACAGAAAATTAGGGATTTAAGACACTTGACCTTTCAGGTCAGTGTAATAAAGCTAAATTATTAAAGTTTTAAAAATGAAAAATGCCCATAAATGTCAATAAGCTACTACAATCCTGGACAAAACATCTGCAACACTTCGAATTACTTGTCAAAATGGTGTAATATTATGGTAAATTTAGAAAACCTCCCCCTTTCCCCTACCGTTCAATGTTGATTGCATTCGTAGAATACGGATAAAACGTCCAACATTGTTTTGGGGGGCGGAGGGGGGCAAAGGAGTAAATTATTTCGGTCTAAAAGGTAAAAAAAGCCACAAAGGAATGTTTTAATAGAGTGTCGCAGATGGTTTTGTCCAGGATTGTAGATTACTATTAAAGTTCTAAATATGAATAATTTCCATCAATGTCAATAAGCTACTTGTTTGTAAGATGTCAATTACCTACTATATTTTTTTTTGTTCGTTTTTAAAAAAAAAAACACATTAAGATAATATACTTTATAATCAATTAAACTGATATACTAGACGCAATGAAGACATATACCTGGCAGGTCTTCTGATGACTCTGCCACTAACTTTACTTACAACTGGTGATTTCACTATTGTCCCATTAGTTTCTTCTTGTGTGCTATTGCCACTTGTATGCTATTTCCACCACATACTCCCACTGTATCATACTCACAAGTCTTTAGTATATGTTTTCTATTCCTCCGGTATTCTTTGTTATTGGCAGTCACAACAAACGATCTAGGTTCTCCTTGTTTAGAATCTCCCACTAACCTGGCTGGTTCCCAGGTGTTTCCGCATCTCATCCTCACAGTATCTCCCTCCTGTGACGGTGTTAAAGTTTTACTTCCTCGGTCAAAATATTTCTTCTGGATTTTTTGCTTCTCTGTTAATGATTGTTGAACCTTTTCTCCATCATATGCCATTGGCTTTAACAAGGACTGCTTTATAGGTATAAGTGTTTTACCACGACGGCCCATTAATAGTTGGATCGGTGATAAACCAACTCCCTGTATTGGAGTATTTCGCAATTCCAAAAGTGCTAAATGAGGATCGCTCCCATCATCACAAGCTTTCTTCAGCAATTTCTTTGCTGTCTGTATAGTTCTCTCGACAAACCCATTTCTTTGTGGAAAAGTTGGTGATGATGTGACATGCTGAAACTGGTACTTTCTGACAAAGTTGAAAAATTCCTTACTGGCAAACTCTGGACCAATATCCGTATAAAGAATCTCTGGAAGTCCATATCTGGCCAGGTGTTTTTGAAGAACATTCACTACAGTATTACTTGTACTGTCTGTGACTCTAATTAATTCAAAATATTTTGAATAATAATCCACGAGAAGTAAATATTTGTCTTTGCCTAATACAAACATGTCAGCTGCCAAAATCTGTCAAGGCTGGTCAGGTACTTGATGCGGTATTAACGGCTCTTTCACTTGCTTACTTCTATACCGGTTGCAAACTTGACATTTGGCAACTTTATCTTGAATTTGCTTAGTAATACCTGGCCAAAATAGACAATCCCTCGCTTGATTAAGACATTTCTCCATTCCCAAGTGACTACTATGTATCTTGTCTACCATTTCTGGACGAAGAGCAGATGGCGTAATTAGGCGATCACCTTTTAAACAAGTGTCCGTCACAGATACATAATTCATCTCTGAAATTCCAATATTCTTGTACATCTGGGTCTACTTCAGATATTTTATCTGGACAGCCTAGCAACACTGTTTCTTTAAGTTTTGCCATAATGGGATCTCGATCTAGTTCCCTCTTAAACTCTTCCGCTTTTTCTTGTGATATTGGTACCAATAAATGAACTTCAAATTCTTCCTTATCCATGCACTCCGACATACTGGTCTGACTAGCACGACTAAGAGTATCTGCAATATACAATGTTTCACCTGGTATATATTTTACCTTCAAATCATATTGCTGTACTTTAAGCATCATTCTCTGTATACGTTGCTGTGCTTTACAAAGTGCCTTTTTAAACAAACTTTCCAGAGGCTTATGATCTGTCTCTACTGTCACAGTGTTTCCATAAATATATTGATGAAACTTGGTGGCACCGAACACAATTGTAAGCATCTCCTTTTCTATTTGTGCATAATTACGCTCTGCCCGATTTAAAGCTCGTGATGCATAAGCTACTGGCTGATTTCCTTGTAACAGACAAGCTCCCAAGCCTTCGGAAGATGCATCAACTGAAATTGTAATGTCAGAATCAAGGTCAAAATACTTCAACACAGGCGCTTGAGCAATCAACGAAATAAGAATATCATATGCTTCTTGCTGTTTCTCCATCCAGTGCCATGCCACTGAATACTCCATTAACTCTCTAAGTGGTCTACTTATATCTGCTAAGTTCGGAATAAACTTATTCAAATAGTTAACCATTCCCAAAAATCTTTGTAGACTCTTACGATCCTGAGGTACTGGCATGTCTATGATAGCTTGAACTCTGTCTGGATTTCGTTTCAGACCATCACTCCCAAATATATGTCCAACATATCTCACTTCCTTCTTGTTAAATCTACACTTCTCCTTGTTAAACCTTAAATCTACTTCAGCTGCTCTCTCTATTACCTTCTTTAATCTTTCATTATGCTCGGTCTCATCCTTACCCCATACCAACAAATCGTCCACGATCACCTCACATCCTTCGATATCCTCAAAAGTCTGAGCCAGATTTCTTTGGAAAACCTTTGGTGCTGGTTTCTTTGGAAAACCTCTGGCGTTATACCTTCCAAAAGGTGTATTGAAGGTCGTAAACCATGTACTTTCCTCTGTAAGCTTTATTTGATAAAACCCAGACGTGGCATCCAATGTGCTAAATATGTTTGCATTCCCAAGGCTAGCTGCTACCTCTTTAACTGTTTTTAACGGATAATGCTCTCGTTGAATCACCTTGTTCAAATCCAAGGCAAATTCTTACATCACGATTTGGTTTCTTCACCACCACCATTGGATTAACCCATTTGGTTGGTTGTTCAACTTTTGTTATAATGCCCCTTGCTTCCATTCTATTCAACTCATCTTTTATCTTATCCTTTAACAGGTGCGGAATTCGTCTTGGTGGATAAATTGCTGGACTGACAGGCTCTTCAATTTTAATTTCATATTCTCCTGGTAGAGTACCAATTCCTTCAAATAAATATTCATACTTTTCCAAAATTTCTTCAGTGGTTTGGTCATTACTTGACTCAATGTTATGAACTCTCTGAATTAAATTTAACTCATTGCTGCTTGGCAACCCTAATACTGGTATGACATCAGAGTTTATAACTTGTACATCCAGCAAATAATACTTGTTCTTGCATTCAACTGCAATTGTGGCTTTGCCTACTGCCTTAATATCATGACCTGAATATGAAATCAACTTAGCTCCAGTTTTGTGATTATATTCAATTCCAACTTTTCTACACAGGTTCACTGGCACGACATTACACTGGGCCCCTGTATCAATCTTAAATGAGGTGGTATGCTCATTTACTTTCAAATTTACACACCAATCGTCCTGCTTCGCTTCATCCGACTTAACTGTTCCAATAAAAAAATGTTGATCTTGTTCTTCATCAGTTTTATCAATAAAGTTTATCTCTTTTGCTTTACACATACTGGCAAAATGATGCAACTTTTTGCATCTAGTGCAGTTCTTACCATATGCTGGGCAACGACCTCTCCTATGTCGATAACCACAATAGTTACAAATATTATTACCAGTTTTATCCCTTTTCTCTTCTCTCTTTCCCTTCCATGTATCACTTTGACCCGCCTTATCTTCAACCCGCACTGCATGTACTGACTTTTCATTAGTAAGTTCCTTCAACTGGAATGCACTTATTTCAGATGCTCTTCAAATATCTACACATTTCTCCAAGCTTAAATCAGATTTCCGGAGCAGACGTGCTCTTACAGAGTCATTAATTATCCCACATACAATTCGATCGCGAATTAGTCCATCTTTAAGATCAGCAAATTCACATCTAGAGGCTTTTTTTCTTAGTTCAGTAACGTATGTATCTATTGTCTCACCTTCCTGTTGGTTTCTTGTAAAAAACGAATGTCTATCAAATGTTAAATTCTTTCTTGGATTACAATATCTTTCAAATTTCTCCATTATTTTATCAACTTTGACATCATCCCCTGCTGTGTCCCACTGAAATGTATTATACACCTCCAACGCTTCATAGCCAGCCACGTGTAGCAACGCTATTGCTTGAACTTTTCCGTCCTTTTTGTCTAAACCCGATGCTATCAGATAGATTTCAAACTGCTGTTTAAACCTTCTCCAATTTTCAGCTAAATTTCCTGTTAATATCAAAGACTTAGGAGGATCTAACTTACCAATATCTAGTTTAATTTACTCCTGACACCATGTAATAACTCGGAATACAAGATGGCGGTATATCATATGTATTGAATTCCTCAGTCCACTTATTTATACCATCTACAGCACAGGTAACCCAAACATATATCGTTACATCCAGTCCCTGTCTTCTGGATTGTCTATGATCGGACTTGTGGGAACAACCTTGTACAAGCCTGATAATATCAACAAGGTAGTTACAAGATGTTAACAGCTTGTTCCAGACTTGTTAACAACTTGTGACAAGCAGTGCGGAGACAACTTGTTGACGGCTTGTTATGACAAACTTGTTACAAGATGTGAGATTTTGCGTGTGTACGTGCTGTTCGATTCTCTTTATAGTTATGGCCAAGCATACACGGGCGCGTGCGTGCGAGTAAAAACCAGATATTTTGATAAATTCAAAATAAATATTTTTACTTGCCTCAAACGAAACTTTCTACATGAAAGAGCTTAAATACAAGGAGTATTCTACTTACATTGGCTCTGAGCAAATTCTGAAGAGTTTTGAAGATTAGCGATTGATACACCGGGTGGAAAGCGTAATTTAAAAATGAAAATTAAAGCCCAGCAAATATTTGACTTTCAGACAAGACATAACGAAAATATAAAATTTATTGGCTAACGTTTCGTTGTATTGTTCACAACATCTTCAGAGCAATTAAACTTATTTACAAGCGTGTATTATATATATACTAGAAATACATGCATGCAGTAAACCCCTCGCTAATATTGCCATACATCAAACATGAAGTATTCAGAAATGACCAGCACTGAACGCAGGCTCGCGCTCAAGTGTTGCGATATTCTTAAATTTTTATTTTCATATATTTTGTACAAAACTGCAAAATAGTTGAAAGATTCGTACTTTTAACTATGCAACAATAAATTTCCGAAATACATACTGTAGGTATATTATTTTGCATTTTGTGAGCTTTGATTTAATGTAAAATTTAACTTGAAACGCTTCGTAAAATGTTTTGAAATGTTCATCCAAGTAAACCTACATTTTGCCGATAAACTGTTTTTACTTAACAAAACATGATAAGTTTAATACAAATAAAATAAAATTGTTAGGTAATTTCAGTTCAGTCTTCAAATCAATTTGTTCGCCTTTACATTTGAAGATTTTTTCTCAAACGGTAATTTATGAAACTTAGAGCTTCTATAGTTCTTGTTTTTATTACGTAAAAAGTTAAAGCAACAAAATTCTTAAACATTTTAAAAATATTCAAAGCAAACTTGCCGAATATTTCACGATTTCCCGTAGTAAACCAATTCTTCTCATTTCTTCAAACAAAATTGCTTCAAGCTTGTTGTAAATGAAACGATTTTCCAAATATATGTCTTTTAAAATTGAAATCTTGCTTGCCAGTTGCCATATTTTTGAGATAAGTGAGGATGACCCAGTGGGATGACCACCCACTCAAGATCGTCGCTCGTTGGTCAGCGCCCGCGATGATTGATGAACTTTAGACTTCGCTAATGCTTTCGTTTCCCCGGGTGTAAATAGCCGTGGGGAATTAGTACCCTCGCACGGCGCTTCGCGCCGTCGGCTCGGGGACAAATTTAAACGGTTACTAGAAATGCATGCATGCAATATCCCCTCGCCTGTTTTCAAAAGATGTATATTCAGTGCCGTTGCGAGCACTTCGTCTGAGCGTGTGTGTGAGGTTAGAAAGAGGAGGGGTGGGGGGTGGTTACCAAAATGTTTCCAGATGTACAAAAAATTTTCAGGACATATAATAATTTTTCCGAAAATACAGTTGTTTTCCAAATTCACTTTCTCATGTCCTGAGAATTACCTGAATTCCCCTGAAAATCTTCTGCAAATCTACTTAAATTTACCAAAAGTGCACTGGAAATCTACCTGAAATTCCTCATGAGCAATTATCAGGGGTGTTGCCCCCCCCCCCCAGTGAGTTCCAAGCAAATACTCTCTGATTTATTGTTCGTGTATTTCACCTCCCAAAATATTGTGCATCATACTATATAGCATTTTGCTGTTGTCATGCTCTAGCATGGTTCAAATTTATGAATTTTTATTATATAAAGTATAGTGTTTTACAGAGATTTCAAGCACTGATAAAAATGATAATCTCACATGTAAAATTATTCATGATAATCTCACATGTGAAAATTATCGCCTTTTCAATTATCGATTTTCTGTAAAAATTATCGCTTTTCATTTAAGACTGTCCTTTATATAATAAACAGAAAAATACATGGGTGGTTGGAAATACCAGATGTATTTTTCGTGTTGAACATGCCATCTCATTCGTTCGCTGCGCTCACTTGTTCGCTGCACACTCATGTTCAACACTCGAAATAAATCTGGTATTTCGTGCACCCATGTATTATTCTCTATTCAAACTACAACTTGACTGGTTTAAATTATTATCAAGTTATCAGTGATTGTAGAAGTTGCAGATAGAAGTGTTTTGTTTTATATTATTATCAAGTTATCAGTGCATGATCGCAAAACCTCCAAATCCTTAATTTCAAATGTTAGAATGTTAGGGTTTGTAATCCAAGTGAGAATATATACATTTTAAGACCTAACCAATAACGACTGCGAAAAATGCAGCACAAGGTCCTCTGGTAGGAATTGAACCTACGGCCCTGCGATTCCGGTGCATCGCTCTAACCAACTGAGCTACAGATGCCAGCTGTTGAGCTTTAACCGTAAGTTCATGTATATTTAGGTAATCGGGTGTGCAGGTTATGATAAGGTGGACTTCAATAATTTGGATTCTTGCACTTCACTTGGTGGACTTATTAGAATGTTAGGGTTTGTAATCCAAGTGAGAATATATACATTTTAATTAAGACCTAACCAGGAACGACTGCGAAAAATGCAGCACAAGGTCCTCTGGTAGGAATTGAACCTACGGCCCTGCGATTCCGGTGCAACGCTCTAACCAACTGAGCTACAGAGGCCAGCTGTTGAGCTTTAACCGTAAGTTCATGTATATTTAGGTAATCGGGTGTTCAGGTTATGATAAGGTGGACTTCAATAATTTGGATTCTTGCACTTCACTTGGTGGACTTATTAGAATGTTAGGGTTTGTAATCCAAGTGAGAATATATACATTTTAAGACCAAACCAGGAACGACTGCGAAAAATGCAGCACAAGGTCCTCTGGTAGGAATTGAACCTACGGCCCTGCGATTCCGGTGCAGCGCTCTAACCAACTGAGCTACAGAGGCCAGCTGTTGAGCTTTAGCCGTAAGTTCATGTATATTTAGGTAATCGGGTGTGCGGGTTGTGATAAGGTGGACTTCAATAATTTGGATTCTTGCACTTCACTTGGTGGACTTAATATTAGAATGTTAGGGCTTGTAATCCAAGTGAGAATATATACATTTTAAGACCTAACCAGGAACGACTGCGAAAATGCAGCACAAGGTCCTCTGGTAGGAATTGAACCTACGGCCCTGCGATTCCGGTGCAGCGCTCTAACCAACTGAGCTACAGAGGCCAGCTGTTGAGCTTGAACCGTAAGTTCATGTATATTTAGGTTATCGGGTGTGCGGGTTGTGATAAGGTGGACTTCAATAATTTGGATTCTTGCACTTCACTTGGGGGAATTAATATTAGAATGTTAGGGTTTGTAATCCAAGTGAGAATATATACATTTGTATATTCCCACTTGGATTACAAACTATTCTCATTTGGATTACAAAATATATACACAAAATATATACATGTACTATACATTTGTATATTCTCACTTGGATTACAAAATATTCTCACTTGGATTACAAAATATATACATGTATATATTCTCACTTGGATTACAAACCCTAACATTCTAATATTAATTCCACCAAGTGAAGTGCAAGAATCGAAATTATTAATTTCAAATGCCCCGCCGGGGCTAAGGTTCGAGGGGAAATACCCAACCCCCGGGATGTGCTTTACAGGAAAATGGCTGGGCGAGGGGGATGGGCACACTTGGATTTGGCTGATGCATTAAAAAGTCCTGTGCTTATTCCAGACTGCTTGTCAAATATTTACTTGCTAGAAGTAGAAATTTACTCTGACCACTGGATGAAGAAGACATTAAATAAGTACTGGTCAATAAATAGAAATGTATTTTATTTCATAGTATTACAATTTTATTTTTATGCTATAAAAATAAAATATAAACATGCGGCATAGAATATGCAAATTCGAGGCAATATTATTGTTGAATCGGTTTATTTATAGGATTTTATAACAAATAGCAACTATAAAAGTTTGTACCTTGTCTTCACATCGCTTTATTGTGTTAGCCAATGCTTTTAAATTTACATATTTTAGAATCAGTTCCTTTCCTGGTAACTGCATTTCTAAATGAAATCATCGTGAGTAGTGAGTGCTGAGCAGGCCGTTTTACTATAAACAAATTTTAGGAATTGACAACAACTTTGAAAAATATATCGTTGCACATTCGGTCACAGTCGGAAAAATGTTTGTACCGTCGCTTGCAACTAACGATGAACAGTTGCTCATAAAAACATTCGCGTGATTAGAATCTTCAATGTTTGTCAAGAACAACAAACCTTAATTGTTGTTTCCCATGTGTACAGTGGACAATAATAAGTAACAAAACTTTGTGTGGTCTGAACGTGTTGGGCTAGAGACTTACTGGAAACTTTTACAGGCCTTTTAATGAGAATAGAGAATGTTTTATCTGCAACTGTTCACCCTTAGTTGCAACCGACGGTATTTGACAGCATAAAATTGCCTGTGGCTGTGATAACTGATATAAATAAAATACAGTCTGGTTATACTGACTTGAGCGTGTCAATGGTGTCATGACAAACTCTTTATTGGAAAATTGTGAAGAAATAGTCGAATATAGAGGGTCGAATATCATACTTCAACTTGTATATATAGCTACAGTATCATTGGTACATAGCGTTGTGAAGACAAGCCTTTGCTTACCTTTCGCTT